TTGTGCGCTCAATACCGCAAATCATCGTAAATTTTGAATAAAAGGAAATAAACAATTTCCGTTTAGCGGTCTTTTTTTGAAAATGACCCAGCTGTTCAACGAGTAATTTTTTTGCCAAAAATTTAAATGTCCGTACGCGAGGAGCACGCGTACATGGAGGATGAATTTGAAATCTTTAAGTTGTATTTGAATGGGGAATATTCTCCTAAAATCTCAGCTCTCCGGCTTTTCTGGTGCCCGAGTTAGCCATTTTCAAGCCAAAAAAAAGTTTCGCGAGGCCGCACGTAAGAACCGTGCATGCCTTGGGGTTGGATTTGATAATTTAAGTCGTACATAGGCTGGAAACATCCCCTTAAAATTTCAGCCTTCTGGCTTTGCTAGTTCCCGAGTTAGCTATTTTCCCGCCAAAAATTTCCACGGGTCCGTACGTGAGAGCCACACATGCCTGGGGGCTGAATTTGATAGGCACTGTTGTACATATGCTGGGAACATTTCCTGTAAATTTCAGCCACCCAGCTTGGCGATATTCGCGTCAGGAACCCTTGCAGGGATGTACGCGGGAACCATGCACACCTGGGAGCTAAATTTGAAATCTTTGAGTTCTATATGGACGGGAAACATAATCTCAAAATTTTAGCTTTCTAACTTTTTTCGTTTCGAAGTTAGCAATTTCTCCGCCAAAACTTTCACTCTCTCGTACGCGGGGCCCAGACTTGCGCAAAGATTGGTACCGCGGTTTTGGAGTGGTATTTGGCCGGGGAATCCACTAGCAAAATTTTGGCGCATGCGCTTGCTTGGTTGCCGAGTTGAAACACCCGGACAGACGAACACAGACAGGGTCGTTGCAATATGCGTTTTTGCAATTTGCATATAAGCAAAAACGCATAAAAAGCATCAATAATGAACAGAGCAGTTGTTCGAACATCCTAAGAAATCAGTAAACACGCATACCATACTCAACAATTCGGGACCCTTGATGCTTATGAAATTCATGCCACTTTCGTTCGCCACAGCTTTAGCCAGCAACGTTTTACCGCACCCGGGTGGCCCACAAAGTAGAATCCCCTGCGGCTTGCATCCAATTCCAAATGAATCAAAAATTTCAGGTTTTCTGATCGGATACTGTAATAAAATCATTTATCGGCATTCGACATTGCCAATTCACCAATTTTTATACAATCCTTTAGTCCCTTAGTTAATAAATTCATCGTTTCCCGGATTACAATGGAAGGCACGCTCAGGGCGATCATTACGAATCAGTGGCAAATCAGAATGGCTGAAGCTTTGGCAAGTGCTTCGGAGAACCGCAGAACTGCTAATTTCTTTGAGAAGCGGAACGACTGTCAGAATCGTCATCAGACTGGCCAACTAATGCAACTGAAAAAGTCACCAGTGACATATCCGGGGAACCCGGCTAAGAATTAATGGTACGGTCCTCCACTATGTTACTGGAACTGATCGCTGTGCCAGGCACTCCACTGTAACTGATAGGTCAGATGCCGACTTCAGAGAGTAAGTTTCTTTTTGCAAGTAAAATGAGATGTAAGCTCCGATACCAGAAGCAAGCGCAAAAAATCGACGCAGTAATTCCATTCCAGTAACATCAAACAATTTGACAGCCATAACCCACTTTCAGCGCGTGAAAGAGATATTTGAAACAGTGCAAGTGTTAGCTTTCCACCCCCAAACGGCTGCCTTTTCGCAAACTGGTTTTTGAGTTGCTTTGATCACTGGCTACATAGCCTGCTAAACAGCCCGATGGCAATACTGACGTTCGTTTCGTCTTCTGGTAGGCTTACCAGAACAACACTTTC